GGGGGGTGACACCTCGGGGGCTGGCCACTCTGCACCCCCTCCTCCATTCTCTTCGTGGGATCTTGGGCACGCACGCACACGCGCCCACCCTGGGTCGGGATTCGAACCACAGCCGACTATGCAGGCGTCCAGCGACACAACCATTACGCTGCCTGCTGGCCCCAAGTTCACTTTTCTTAAACTACCGTAAAGTTTCCCTGGACTCGAGCAAACTGACATTCGGAGCCCCCACGCCTGCCCCAGTGAGAGCTTGGCCAGTGTCCCCAGGACGGCCGCCTGCATCTCCCAGTGCGAACCTCGGCCGCCGCCTCCGGGCCGCAAACTCCCCTCCACTCCCCTGGGAGACAGGGACGAGCCCCCCGCCCGGGGCTGCCGTCAGAGCCACGCGGGGCACGGAGCGGTCCCTGTAAGTGGCGCTGCCTGCCCTTCCCTGGTAGCTACGAAGCCCGACACCCTGCAGAAGGCGTCGGTGGGCATCGTGGACCAGAAGACCTGCAGCCTCCTCTACAACTTGTCGCTCACCGACCGCATGCTCTGCGCCGGCTTCCTGGAGGGCAAGGTGGACTCCTGCCAGGTGAGCGCCGAGGGGCATGGCAGGACTTAGGGACACCCGCGCCCGCACCGCTGCTCGCTCACACGCTCGGCATGCACCAGACCGCAGTGTGGGCACTCTCAGGGCCGCCCGTGGGCCAGTAGGTAAGCCCTGTGTGCTGGGAGCCGGATCCCACGTGGCCGGCCAGGGTTCGAATCCAGGCCCGGGCAGCTTGACAGCCACGCCCTGGATCCCGAGGGGTGCAAGGGTGCAGGAACAGGGATGGCCGCGGCCGTGCCCGCCAGGGGCTGTCTCCTCCCGCTCTCTGGCATGCTCAGGGGACCAGCATGTGGCATGGTTCAGACACTGGACTCTGTGGCCGACCACAGTTCGAGTCCTGGACCTGGTGGCTTAAACTCACCCAGGCTCATGTGTGTGCGTGCCCAAGATCCCGAGAGGACAATGGAGAAGGGACTGCAGTGTGGCCATCCCCGGGGGTGATCTCTCGTGTTTTCTCTGTCTCTCTGGGAGCGCACGCGCCCTATAGCAAAAGCCTCTCCAAACAGAAACAGCGCCCCGTGCAGCAGTCTGGGGGGGCCGGGATGCCGCGGCAGGTGTGGGGAGGCGCGATCCCAGCCCAGACCTGAGGGACATGTCACGGGTGTGCCCGAGTCCCGAGGGAGGAGGAGGCTGTGCCCCGGCCGTCCTGCCCCGCACTTGCCCTGACCTCTGAGAGCAGAGACGGCGGGAGGTGGGGACTCGTCTATGCCGTGGGCTCGTGTGCGCCACAGCGAGAGGGGAAGCGGTCCCCGGACACGCACACGCCTGCCGTCTTTCAAGCCGAGAGGCCGGGACTCGAGCCCTGCTGAGCCATGCGGAACGCGGCTTCCCGTGCGGTGGGCCAGCCCCGTGACTCTCCTCTCTGGCGTCTCTGCGCGTGGAAAGTCCCCGGAAGGGGTGTGAACGGCGAGGCTCAACGGGCAGCCCCGCGGGCTCAGTGGGGGCCGAGGCCCGTGTCCCATGCCACCCGCAGGGCACCCGACGGCTGTCTCCCTCTCAGGGCGACTCCGGGGGCCCCCTGGCCTGCGAGGAGAGCCCCGGCGCGTTCTACCTGGCGGGCATTGTGAGCTGGGGCATCGGCTGTGCGCAGGCGAGGAGGCCGGGCGTGTATGTGCGCATCACCAGGCTCACGGGCTGGATCCTGCAGACCATGGCCTCCAGCGCGCCGCCCCCGGGGCCCGCGCGGACGCAGGCCACCCCCACGCTGCCCCCTGGGCCGGCGCTCAGCCCCACGGCCCCGGACGGCACCACCAGCAGGGCGGCCAGCCCCCCTGCCGACACCACCATGTCTGCCGTGGCCACCACCGCCGGGGGGCACACGCCACATCCCGACGCCCCAGGGACCACTGTGGGCTCCTCGCTGCCAGGTATGGCGAGACCCCGCCTGGGGGTGGCGGGCTCCTGCACCGGCTCAGCCATCACGGCAAACCCGCTCTCTGGGGCCGCGGCGTGGCCGCCGCCTTCTCCCCGTGTCCGTGTCCCCTCTCGAGGACGACAGCTCTGTTGGGCCACAGCACTGACCTGGTTAGAGACCCCCGCCCGCAGACAGTCCCATGTGAGGTCCCAGGACCCAGGCTCCCGCGCTGAGCCGGGGCTGGGAACTCAACCTTGAGGGGCCGAGGCCACGGCACACGCGGGGCCGACTGCTGGCCCAGTGCCACCGTGTTCCTGCAGCCCCGTGGGGACCTTTCAGATCGGGGGCTTGGGTGCAGGGACACCGTGGTGGGGAGAGGGGTCTCCGTTGTGGGTGACAGCATTGTTCACCCCAGGCTTTTCATCGTTACATGAGGAAGCGGAGGAGGGAGGGAGGGACACCCCGCCTGGCCTCCGCGCAGCCCAGGCCGCCCGCACGCTCCCATGCCTGGCCGGTGGAGGCTGGGTTAGGGACCGAACGGGGCCCCGCAGCCTCAGCCTCACGTGGTCCTGCCTGCACCCCATGCTGGGCCACGCTGGCTCTGCTGTCCCTGCCTCTGGGCTCGGGGGTGCCACAGGGACAGGGTGCTCAGGCAGCAGGTGACGTGAGGGCAGGCAGCAGGGCGGGCAGGGGAGGAGCAGGCCCCAGGCCCCTCAGCGCGGTGAGCTGGGGTGGCTGGCCACGGGAGCCCAGCCGGCAGGTCCCATCCTGTCCTGCCCGAGACCCCGGTGCAATCGGGCCAGCCAGGGCTGTCCCCCCCTGCAGTGAGAAGGAGCACCACCAGCTCCAGCAGTGGCTGGGGTGCGGCTCAGACCCAGGGCCCCAGCTGTGCCGGCGGGGCAGACGTGCCATGTGGGACACCCTGGCAGAACCTGCTGCGGGGGACGGCTCTC